CCTCTCCCGGCGGGGGCGGCGACCTCGCCCGGACGCGCCCCTCGCTCCTGGGCCGCGGCTCACCCAGGCGCAGGCTGCACAGCGCCCCCCGGTGAGCGCCCGGAGGGGTGGGGACACCCGGGGACGCGCGCTGACCCTTCACCTTGGTCTCTGCGAGATCGGCGGCGGCGTCCTGCAGACCAGAAATGCAGAGGCTGACAGCTGGAAGGGCCTGGGCGCGAACTCCGGCACAGAGAACAGTCCTTCCCCATATTATCTCCTCTCCTAGGTCAAAGTTTGGGTGCCAAAGAATTATCACAAAAATGCTAATTTACCGAAAGAGAAAACAGCGTCCGGTGCGAGGCTTTTATTGTTTGTCACTCACATACATATTGAGCATAGCGTTGGGTACTGGGCAATGACTGGCAGTCACTTGGTCATGGTAGGCGGTCTAGAGAATCAGGATCCCCCAGCTTCACCTCCCCACACTGGGATTCAGGGCAAGCCACATGACCCTGGGTCTGGCTTCATCCTGGAAGTGGGAAGGGTGTTCATCAAAGTTACTCATGGGGTGAGGTGAGGATTACTTGCTGAGGTGTTAAAACCACGGCAGACACAGTAATTATTACTCATGAGTCTAACTACTTTATCCTATAATGGAATAAATTGCCATAAATGGGGCCAGGTTTAGATGCACTGACCTATATCTGGAAACTGTCACTAAAATAAGGTGAACCAAAGATTTCAAACCTTACATAGTCACTCTGTCCTGTCGGCACTGGGGCTTATCAAACGCCACCAGCACCTCTACAAACTGTCTGCTTGGAATCCTATTGTCCCAGCTGCCAACATCAGCATCAGCTACATCTTCAGCTGGCACGATCATGGTCTAGACTAACACACATTTGAGTACTGGGTACAATTTTATTTCATCTTCACAAAAACCTGCGTGGTGAGTTACTTTCTTATTTTTTATTTTAGAGACCAGGACAACCAAGGGCAGAGAGGTCTTTCTTCTGGCCAAAAAGTGATACAGCTGCGGAGAAACCACCAATTCTTCGAGGGCAGCTGTTGACTGATTGACCTCCTCTTGCGTGCAGGCTGGACTTCCAACTGAATTCTAACAAATGGGATGCAGCAGATGTGATGTGACCAGCCCAGCTCATAAAGGAGATGCATCCTTTTACGTTCCCCCTACCTGCCCTGCCCCACCCCAGCCAGGTATCCCAGGCTGAGAGTGCCAGCCAGTGTCTGCTGCTCCAGACATGTGAAGGGGTGAGCCTTAACGATGACTCTAGCCTCAGTCACCGTAGACCACATGGGGTAAGACCTAGAGAGAAAGCTCGGCCAAGTTGTCAGTCCCCAGAAACCCGAACGGTAAGAATTTGTCCTTGGACTGGTTGTTAATAAAGTAACACATGCTTGGCAGGGTGGCCCCATGATTGTCCCCACCACAGGTGACCCAGGGAGCCACCCCAGGCCTTGACAACCTCGTATGATGAAGACAACGATTCTCAGCTTCCAGAGAAACAACATACAGATCTGCCACCTGGCAACGTGTTTTAGACACACACACCTCTTGAATTTGCCCTGATCTTTGGTTCTGTTTGCTTACACCAACTGGATAGCAACAGTCTCTGAACCCTGCTGGCCAACCCACCTTTCTAAAAGTAGCAGAAATAGCAATGACAGGTTCATAAACTATATAAGCCAATGGATTGAAGAGGAGGGAAAACACCAAAAATGTTTTGAGACAGGAGTCCGTTGTATCACAGACTGGCTTCAAACTCACTGTGTAGCCAAGGGTGACTGCTCTCCCTGTGTTCGCCTCCCGTGTCCTTGAGATTACACACAGACACGCTCAACCACCTGTTTCATGCTGTGTTGAGGATGAACCCAGGGCTTCACACATGCTTGGCAGGCTCTCTGCCAACGTGGCTACATTCCCAGACCTAGGATGTTTGATCATAGACGTCGGTCAGGTTTTAGTGAAGAGTTTGGGACAAGATACTTCTCAGTGGGACTATTTTGAGGACTGCGAAGAGGAAATCCTGAGGATCCTGCCCCGAGAAGGGATAGGAACCTAGCTAGGCTGGACATTTTGAGGTTGCTGCCCCAAGGAAAGATGGGAACCAGCTAGGCTGGGATAGTTCTGCCTTCAGATCTCCAGAGTGGAGGAGACTGAGGCTTTTTTTTTTCCTGCTTTTAAGTGGTTCCAAAAAAAGTACTAGGAACTGCTGCTCTATCTAATCTACACTGAGAAAATTAACCAAGAAACTATTAGAAAACCAAGTGAAAAACGGCCCGAGAGCATGTCACAATTATTTTTAAAAAACACCATTAGCCTAGTTTTCATAACCCTCAGAGCTGAGGACGCACCACTGGGTTTGAAATCCCTTCACCTTCCTGACTGTGTTTTTATAAAGCCAATCAGCCAAGAACTTTTGAGAAAAGATAAAAAATGTTCTAAAAGTTGTCAAAAGTTGATAAATCCACCAACTACAAAGGCATTTTTTACTTTCTCCTTGGTCTCTTTGGAGGAAATAAAGAAAGACGATTATATGAAGGGTTTGAGATGGAAAACATAAATTATCAAGTCCCAAGAGCAAAGGCATCTTAGGACTGGCCTTCACCCAGAGGCTCACACTCTAACTGTGAAGCCAGCAGATCTGTGAGGCAGCTCACACTCTAACCCTGGGGCCAGCAGACCTGTGCGGGGGCTCACACTCTAACCCTGGGGCCAGCAGACCTGTGCAGAGGCTCACACTCTAACCCTGGGGCCAGCAGACCTGTGCGGGGGCTCACACTCTAACCCTGGGGCCAGCAGACCTGTGTGGAGGCTCACACTCTCTCTGTGGCGAGTGCACAAGTGAAATGCTGTGATACCATAGGAGTTCTTGTCTTAGCTTTGTCTTGTCTTTCAGATGGCTCAGTGGGCAGAGCACTCGGGCAAGCCTGGCAACCTAAGCTTGATCCTTGGAACTGTACAGAGTGAAGAAGAGACCTGATGCCACAAAGCTGTCCCCAGCCCCCCAGCCTCCACAAGTGTGTCCCAGCAACAACAATAATAATGAATAAATGGCTTTTTATTAAACTAGCATAGAGTTGGTGTTTGTTTGTTTGTTTGTTTGTTTGTTTGTTGAGGCGCTCGGCATCAGTATAAAGAAGAGTGGCAGAGCCGTGAACCCTGCTCCTGTCTTATTTCGGTGTTAGCAAGCAGGAGAGTGGGCTAGATGTCATAAACTCAGATTCCGTCGGTGTTCCTGACTTAGCTGGCTTTGCAGCCTGGTCCAAAAGACTCACATTCCCTGCCTCTGCTGGCTAGTTTTATGTCAACTTGCCACAACTAGAGTCATCTGGGGAGAGGGGACTTCAGCTGAGAGGCTGCCCCCGCTAGATTGGACAGTAGGCAGAGGCTGTGGGTCATTTTCTTGATTGGTGATTGACGTGAGTGGGTGGTGGCACTCCCAGGCTGTGGTATTAGATGCTATCACATAGCAGGCTGAGCAAGCCATGGGGATCACACCAGTCAGCAGCTCCCCTCCAAGGCCTCTGCATCAGCTCCTGCCTCCAGGCTCCTGCCCTGTCGTCCCTCGGTGATGGACTGACTGCGACGTGGAAGTGTAAGCTGAGTAAATCCTTTCCTCCCAAGTTGCCTTTGGTCATGATGTTTCATCGCAGTGATAAAAACCATAACGAAGACACTGCCCAAGTGTTTTATAACCAGCAGGAAACTTCTGTTTCTGCAGCATCTCTCTCCTCATCTGCCCACCTACATGCTTAGTTTGCGCCCACTTTACTTATTCTTTGAGACCAAACTCAGACTCATCTGTTCCTGAGCACAGTGCTGAGGTGAACCCTGCTGTCTGACATGGAAACATCTTGATGCTGCACTTTCTCCAGTTTATGAAGTCTATCTGCTTACATTCATACAAATGTTGACTTCTCCAACTGAGTGATAGCGGCCTGCATATTAAACCAGTCAACTCTGGCCAGGTGGTGGTGGCACACGCCTTTAATCCCAGCACTTGGGAGACAGAGCCAGGCGGATCACTGTGAGTTCAAGGCCAGCCTGGTCTACAGAATGAATTCCAGGAAAGGCACCAAAACTACATGGAGAAACCCTGTCTTGAAAAAACAAACCAAACAAAACCAAACAGAACAAAAAAAAAACAAAAAAAAAAAAACAAAAAAAAAAAAACAAAAAAAAACAGTCAACCAGGTCCATGGAAATAAGAACATTTTTACTCCACACTCCCAGAAAATTTCTGTCTTAGTTAGGGTTTTTAATGCTCAGTTGAACCACCATGCCCCAAAAGCAAGTTGGGCAGGAAAAGGTTTATTTGGCTTACACATCCATATTGCTATTTATCATTTATCATCAAGGAAAGTCAGGACAGGAACTCAAATGGCTGGAAGCTAAAGGCAGGAGCTGACACAGAGGCCATGGAGGGGTGCTGCTTACTGACTTGTGCAGTGATATATTGTGTACCCCAGTAAAGCTTGCCTGAGGATCAGAAAATAAAACCAGCCACTACATTAAACATAGAGGTCAGGCAGTGGTAGCACAAACCTTTAATCTTAGCATTCGGGAGGCAGAGATCCATCCGCATCTCTGTGAGTTCAAGGCCACACTGGGAACAGAGCCAGGCATGATGGCTCACACGCCTTTAATCCCAACAGTAGGAAGGAAGTAAGATGGCAGGGCACAGAAAGGCATATAAGGCGTGAGTAAACAGGAAGTCTCTCTCTTAAGGCTGAGGATTTCGTAGAGGTAAGAATGTGGCTGGCTTGTTCTGTTTCTCTGATCTTTCAGCTTTCACCCCAATATCTGGCTCCAGGGTTTTTGTTTGTTTGTTTTTTTAATTAATAAGATCTTTTAAGATTCGTATTACAGACTTGCTTCACACGGCCTGCTCAACCTGCTTACTTACAGAACCCAGGACTACCAGCCCAGGAATGGAACCACCCACCACGGCCTGGGCCCTCCCCAACCCTCACTGATTAAGAAAATGCCTTACAGCTGGATCTCATGGAGGCATTTTTCTCAACTGAGGTTCCCTCCTTTCAGATAACTCTAGTTCGTGTGTTAAGTTGACATAAGACTAGCCAGCACAATTTCCTACTCCAAAAATGAAACCATCTTATAGAGAATGGCCTGTCCTGGAGGACAGTCCTGTGGCTTCACAGGCATGCTGTCTCTCCCAGGCATGCTGTCTCTCCCAGGCATGCTGTCTCTCCCAGGCATGCTGTCTCTCCCAGGCATGCTGTCTCTCACAGGCATGCTGTCTCTCACAGGCATGCTGTCTCGTGCAGCCTTCACAGGAGAGGGCTGTCATTCTTGCACTGCGTTAGAGCTGGTGGAACCCAGGCAGGAAACGTTAACGCTCTTGCTCTGGTTGCACAGCAACAGCGGATCGCTCACTGTGGCTCCAGTCTCCGGCTTCTGAGTCCAGCCTGGCACGTCTCCTCCCCTCAGAGGGCATCTATGAGCCATTTTCCTCTTTTGCCTCATGGAACATCTATCATGCTATTTTCATAGTCTACCACACACCTGAAGCACTAAGTTGGTGATTTTTAAATGTTTTCATGCAGAAGAAAAATTTCCATGGTTAAAGAGCACTTTGAAAATCAGAAGAAAAAAAAATCAGTGCTTACTTGTGGGAATTCGTTCCATTCGGCCAATGACCTTTATCTTACAACACTTAATGCTTATAGAGTTATTTGAAATTCAGGTTAGATAGTGCCTTTTAAAACCTTCCTATGGAATTTTCAGCCTCCAGGACTCAACAGTAAAAATACAACTTTCATTTAAATTTTAGATATACTACCACTGTGGATATACTACGGCTTTTAGCTTTGAATGTTCTAAGGCTGGCCCCGCTGAGGTATGTAGCAGGGCATGGTCACGCACACCTTTAATCCCAGAATTTAGGAGGCAGAGGCAGGAGGATCACTGAGTTCCAGGACAGCCAGGGCTACAGAAAAACCAAAAAAAGCTGTGGATAAGCAGCAACAGGAACATTAGAGGGTAAAAAGATGAATACAATTTCTCCATAAAAAAAAATTCCCCTAACACTTTTGGTGATAAAAAGAGGGGAATTCAGAAATACCCCTTTACAAGCACACTTGCATGCTCTGGGCTGCTTACACTCTCCTAAATGTTGGCCTCCCTGACTGGATAATAGGCCTGCATATTAGACGTGTCAGTGTAAGAACACCAGGTCCATGGCAATAAGAACATTCCTACACCAGAAAATTTCTTCCTCCAAAAAAAAAAAAAAGAAAAGAAAAGAAAAGAAAAAAAAGGAACCTCTGAAAATAAGAAACGGTTATTCTTTATAAAAACACACATACAACAGTGTAATTGAGAACCAGCACCGGGTCATAGAACACAAAGTATAAGTTATTTTTCCCCAGAAATGGATTTGTCTGGCCTAGATTACTCTGAGCTTCAAATAAATTATAGACCCTTTGCCAGAAATTTAAATTGCTGATTTTTTCTTTTGACATTTTATAGTTTAGCATGTTGTCATTTCAACTAGCAAAAAAAATAAAATAAAATATGTCTATTTTATTTCCTCTCAGGTGGTGGCCAGTTAGCGCTATCTCGGCAAAGCCTCACAGGGAAACGTGAATCAACCTGAAAAACTGTTAGATTGCCCCAATCTTTTTAAGCAGTCACTTTCATTTTTTCCCAGGGGTAACCAGGGAGCTTGTCACCCCACTGCCCAGGAGACAAGGGACTACAAGGAAAAGAACATAGTACGGCTCGGTGAAAAAGACTGGCTCTCCATACTGAATGTCGACCCACTTAGTCGACATAAGCAGCTGAGTTTTGTGTCAACTCCAGTCCCTAAAACCAAATGTGTCTGGCCGCGCAGTGGTGGCCCAGGCTTTTAATCCCAGCACTCTGGTGGCTGTGGCAGACAGATCTCTGTGAGTTCGAGATCAGCCTGGTCTCAGAGCGAGTTCCAAGACAGCCAGGGCTACGCAGAGAATCCTGTTTTAAACAAACAAATAAAACTAACTGTATTTGCATTTGATGACTGTATTCTTTCAACGTATCACCATAGAAAAGTAAAGACAGAGAAAGACAGCTGAGCATTTCAAAATCTCTTAAACATCCTAGATGCAGCACCACCCAGTTCAGGGACAAAGTAAGCCAAAGTTTACCCTGGAAATGAAGCAAGGGTTAATAGCAAGCTTGCCCATTGGTTGAGGATTAACAGCAAGTTTGATCATTGGTTGAGGATTAACAGCAAGCTTTCCCATTGGTTGACGGTTAACAACAAGCTTGCCCATTAGTTGAGGGTTAACAACAAGCTTGCTCATTGGTTGAGGTTTAACAGCAAGCTTGCTCATTGGTCCAGCTGCATTCTCTATCTTGATCCCTGCACAAGATAAGGAGATCTTATGGAATTTGTGTCTATTTAGTTCACTCTTAATCCAGAGCCTTTGTGCATACTAGAAACTCAATCTGTATTGCTTAATGAAGAATTGATTTCACAGGTTATCCTTATTTTAAGTAGTGAACAGCCCACAATCCCAGCCCTAAGATTGTCAGACACACCTCAGGGCATTTTTTTTTTAATTCCAGAGAATGAAGTAAACCAAAAGCAAGTTTTGCTGATGCATTCACAGCAGTGATCATTTAAGCTTCAAACAAAGCTGGGGGGAGGGGGCTTTAAAGAAGTCTGACACCAAAGCAAAGCATACCTTATGCCATGGAAGAATTAGCTCATGAAGGACAGAACGCTGACCGGAAACCTGACTCCCCAAAACAAGGAGGGCGTTCACCAAAAGACACAGAACCTCCTTTCCCACAAGACACATGATGAAATGTGTTCTCCAGAAATCCAGTAACGTCAGTAGAGATAAGAGAGGGGAGAACTCTGTCCTAGATCCTCAAGGGCCTTCTTGCCAGGCTCAACTTCCACATCAGTGCCTGGAGCCTTGCAAGGATTCCCAGGTCTTGAGTATGGGCCTGAGACTACATGTTTGTGGGTTCAAGCACTTCGCACTCCAGATTATTAGGTGGCTTCAGAAGGTTTTGCTCTCTTTAAGTGTTCTCATTACTCTCATTTATCTACTCTCT